AAAATAAAAAAAAAAAAAATGGAAAAGCTCTCAACAATTTGAACCATTTGTCCCTGCAAATTATTTTATTGGCTTTTTTTTTTTTTTTTTTTTTCAGGAATTGAACTCAAGACCTTGAGCTTGCCAGGCAGGCGATGTGCTGCTGAGCTAAAACCCCAGCCCCCAAATTATTTTTTTTTTTAAATTTTTCTGGTAATAGCCTTTAACTGATCCAAAGTAGGATTGTTGCAAAATTATGTAATCAAGCCTCTACAGTACTTCTTCTGCCTGATTTGCCTTACTTTTTCCACATATTGTACATAATCTTTCAATTTCCATTTATCAAAAGAATAATAGAAGAGATCAAACTACATAATCCTATTTTCTAAAGCAGTTATTTTGATTTCATATGCTCATTTATCCTTTCCTTTATAGATGCATATGTATTTTCATAAACATAGTCAATTTTAGTTATTTTGTGTTATTATTATAAGCCCTTTCCATTTGGCTATATAATCATCACAGTTTTCATTTAAATAGGTACATAGTTTTCCATGCAACAGATGTGCCATAATTCAGTTTAACTCTTTTCTATTGATAGCCATTCTGGTTGTTTCTAATTCTGAGCTATTATAAATAGTGGTGCAATTAATAGCTCCATGTGTAAGTTCTCCTTTTTTTTATTATATTTGGATAAGTTTCCAAGACTGAAATTACTGGGCTAAAGATATAAAAGTGTTACGGCTTTTTGAAGTATCTTGACAAATTGTTTTCCAAAAAGGTCATATAATTATACTTCCAACAATAATGCATTCAACTATCCTGTTTTTACTACAAATTTACTACTTATTGGCTAAAAACAAAACTATACTTTATTAGTATATTAATTTTCATATTCTAGTACATATTCTAGGAACTGCAAATTTTTCATGTTTCAAGTATTACACTTTCTTTTTATGCAAATTGTTGATGTTATATGCTGGCTAAAATTATAAATTTCAAAGGTTGTGGCCATGTCACTCTTGCTTTCCACTGTATAGTAGACCTTAGCACTATTTGTGCATAAATAGCATTCAATGTATATTTGTGCTGTAAATGAACACATTTTTATAAGTCCTTATGAGCTCCTTATAAACTATAGGTATTAACCTTTTGTCATCATTAAAATAATTTTTTGTTTTAGTTTAATATTGTTTTAAGAGAAAAAATTAGCAGACAGTATTGCTCTACTCTTAGTACTTTATTAAGTTATCTTAACACTTAAAAGTTGCACTTATAGAGATACTAATATATAGACTCAAGTCTTCATGTATGACTGCAATTTTTGCTGTTGTAAGTTTCCATTTGGGAATAAAATTGAATTATCATGAATGAAGGTCTGTCCTGAGAGCTGAGGTATTTACTTGAAACCATAACCACTAATGGCTCTGAACCAAAGCTTTGGGTTTAGCTCTCACCTGGAGCCTCAGCTTTGCTTCTCCAGATAGGACCTACATACATTTTTACCTAGGCAAGAGGGATTTAAATTAATACAGCTAACACTTTGAGATACAGGATTAAGTCAGCATTGCTGCTATTTTAGCCGTAAACCTTTAGGTCAGCTATAATAACAGAGCTTCTGCAGTGGTCTCATGCTGGGTCCCTGGTATTTTAATGTGATTATTTTGATAGAGGGACATTTTGATACAGATATTTTTTATGGCCTAGAAAAACAAATCATTAAAATCTGAGTATATTTCAATTACAAAGAAGCAGTGTTCAACTGATGCTTTCAACTCATCCTTAAGCCCCAGTCCACCTGTCTTTCACCTTAGTGATTCCTGACCTTCCACATTCCTGGATGTCACAGTGAAATCAAAACAAAGATTAGATAAAAAATCCATATTTGACAATGTCTATCATAGATCTAGTAATTGAATTTCTATTTTGTATTTCCATCTTTGAAATACTTTTAGTATCATAACACACCCTGTATTCACCAGGGAATCCAGAGAAATAGAATCAACAGTACACATCTTATCCTATACAACAGGATACTTTATACATATTAGGGAAATAGACTTCAGTAACTGTGCAAACTAAGAAGGCCCACAATCGGCAGTGTATAAGCTGGAGAACCCAGCCATGCAGTCTGGGCTCAAAGTAGCAAGAAACAGGGGAGCAGAAGCTGGAACTCCCAATCCCAAAACGAAGATCTTAGAACAATGGAATGAAAAATCCTTTATGGCCTGAATTCCAAAGGTCCAAGAGCTAGAAGTTCTGAGGGTAGAGTAATAGATGTTCCATTCTGAGGAGAAAAAATTCACCTTCCTAATGACTTTTTGTTCTATCCAGGGGGCTCCCTGATGAATTAGGTGATTCTTATCCAGGTAGGTGAAGGTGGGTCTGATTTACTCAATCCACTGATTCAAATGGTGACTGGAAACAACCTCACAGACTCATCCAGAATAGTGCTTTATCAATTACATGGGCATCCTTTCGCTCAGTCAAGTTGTCACATAGAATTAACCATCATAGTCTAAAAGGGCTCTTGTGATTCTCCTCAGTGGCTTTCCCCTGTAGGGGTGATTGCCTGCCGACAACTTTGACAAGCTCCCCCTCTTGAGCTTCTGTCACTGTGATCTGACTGTATGAGATTCTCTGTCATTGTGTCTTCCATATCTGTCTGATATTTTCAACATCTTTACCAGAATCTTCCCTGCTATTTTTTCCCATTTGTGCAAATCCAACACTGTGTGGATGTATAGCCAGTTCTTCCGTAAAGCTTTACTTGTGATTGCTTCATTCCATGATTTCACCACATCCTGCTCTCCAGGAAGCCTCAGAGATTTACTTAATTGCCATTCTCCCAACCTCTATGGCACTTATCCACCTTATGTTATTTTAATGTTATTTTTCTTATTCTTAGCTCATCTCCAATACATTGAAAAGTCCTAGAAAGCAAGAGCCATACTATTTTCTTGCATTTCTGTTTCCCTAAGTTATATTGGTACACATATGCTTTCATACAAAAGAAACTGAATACTTCATTAATTTGTTCCACCATTCTTTTCTGTCCTTTCCTCTTTGTTCCTCAGTACCCTTCTTCTTAGAAAAATGGATTCACTAAGTCTATTTGCATCTTAGTGTACATTGTGCATCCAATAAAGAAAAAAAAACATCAAAACAGCAAACCAGCAAAACCAGCCTCTTTCCCTGTAGGCTGTAAGCCTCCTACTGGATATCTGACCCCTGGTTTCTCCTCCAGGCATTCCCGCACCTCCTCTTATAGCACTCCACTGTCTCTTTGTGTGTCATTTCTCTTCTCATAGCCACCCTCTGTGTATTAAGCAGCCCTCCTGTTATCCTTCAAGCTCTCCATAAGAAGAGATGTATACAGATACAAGGAAAAAAATTCATGATCGTGCTGCTGAGGAGATAGACTGGTTTTTTTTTCCCCTGAATTTTGTGTTTTGCTTTGTTTTTTCATGGTGGTGAGAAATTGCATGTACCATTTCACATTGCTTCATGCTACTTCCCTGGTTAGGAAATTTGCAACATGCCTGGGTGGAAATAAGGTTGCATGCTTTGCTCATGAGTAGGGAAAGTCAACCGATCCATAAGACAGCGTTGAGGGGTAGCAAATGATGTTGCTTTATCATCCCAACTTAGCAAAATCATGTTTTCTCCCAAGAGAGACATTCATCCATTAACATCATGTGTCTCATGTGCTGTACAGAACCCCAGTTTCAAACAATGGACAATCCGTGTACACTTGTCTCTGCACATGTGCTTATCAGGGATTCAGATATATAACAATCTTTTATTTATTCTGCTGATATAGTGAGCACATCAACACCAGACACTGTTGTCTATCTTCATGAATGTTAATGCATAAATGTTAAGGTTGTTAATTTGGTAAATATAAAGATTACTAGTGTTGTACAGAGCAAAACAAACATTGTAGTATTTTTCTTCACACTGTGTACATAGTCACAAAGTGTAGCAATGACTTCATAATGAAAGAACAAGTTAGATACATAGACAAAACAAAAACTGAGTGATACAGTTCAAATAGAAATCTTATTTTGACCAAGACTTCTACCCTTGGTCTCAGAGACACGTTGAATTGAAGGGAAACAGCAATTCCATATCATTCTACTTATGAATGGCTGGGTGATCCTGAACTGTGTATCTTGTCCTGCCAAGAGGGGAGCTTCATGTGCTCACTTCAGCAGCACATGTACTAAAAAGAAAAGAGGTTCAATGTTAACAGAAAGTCTAGAACTAACTAGATGACAGGCAGAGTGTTCCAACTTCAAATGTCAGCTTGAACAAAAGTCTTAGCCCAAAATCCTTACACAGGTACTTCCTTAAAAATAAGACTTTCATCCACTTGATAATTTGTTTTAAAATGCTCTTTAGGTTATTTGCTACTTACTATATCCTATTATATATCTATTAAGCAGCTCAGATCAATTGTAAGGAAATTTAAAGTATTTTTATCTTGTTTTAGTTCCTAAATATACTATAAAATAAACATTAACCTTACTAGAAAAGAGAAAAAACTAAGAATATGAGTGTTAGGGCAACAAAGCACAAAAAACGACAAGAGAAATTGGCGGAGCTCCACTAGAAGTCCTCACCCTTCACTTCCCGGGGCCCTTCCTTCTAGGTTTCCCTGTACTTCTTTTTTTCCTGGGTACATAGTTGAAAAGTTTGACTCAGTCTGCCTCAAAAACTAGACTCAACATGGAAATTTTGACATATTTCTCTTCTTGGAGCAGTGGTATCTTCTTTTGCTGAATGAATTTCTTTAGGAACTAACATTTATATCTTCCCCCTAAGACACTCTGGGGTGCCTGTTACAGACGAGCTATGATGTGCTTTGGCAGTTAATGGCACTCAGTCAAAACCACCAGGGCATGTCATTATTAGGTCATAATACCCACCCTGGAGTGTCTTACGACTTAATTGTTCCTTCTTGTATTCCAGAAACCAGCAAAAGACATATTTTACTAATGTTTCTGCTTTGTTAATGAGTTCAAAATGGATGAACACATGTGTTCTGTCTCTTCTGCCTATCAAACATGTATTCAGAAATAAATGCAGGTTACAAAAACCCCAATTCCAGCTTGCATATTTTAGTACAATGAATTTGGCATGACTCTGGTACATCTGAAAGTGAAGATTTAGTATGCAAGGGCTGTCTAAATATTCAGACACTTAAAACTCATGAGGCTTCCCCTCCTGCCAGTGTCCTTAGCATTTATCTCCCTGTATCATCTGTTTTTCTGCTAAAACTTTCCATTAAAAGAGATATGTTTTAATCTACACAAGAATCCACAGTAGACTACTCTCAACTTTTTGAACACACAGCTAATTGTAGCCTTCATAAGTGTTTAAGCTTACGTGATTTTCTTACCCTCATTTACCAAAACTCTTCAATTGGAATGGAAAATTCATTATGCACCTTCAGAGTCTAACTCTTCTATCATCCAGTCACTCACTTCTTAAAGTGGCACTAAACAGCAAGCAAAAGGTTGAGAAGTTATAAAAGAAGTAGCTGACAAAGGTGTCGGAGTGCCTAGTAATAGAAAGAATTAGTCATTCAAGCAAGTGTGAAATTAGCCTTCAGGTCGATGAAACAAACATAGCTGGAGACCTAGTCAAAGTGAACATCTCTTGCAAAATTGACTGTGGAAACTGTTTTGGGATGGAGTCATTCCAGTCTTGGTCTTTACCTTCAGGATAATTATTAACATATAATAAATAAAGCATTTGTCTTGTAATTTTAAAACTGCCCACAAAGCCCAGTTCCCAGAAGACCTCAGTGGTGAATCCTATCACACATTTTGAAGAAGAATTAAGTTAAAATCATCATAAGATTTTCTAAAATATGGAAGCAAGGGAAGTACTTCTCAACTTATTCTATGAGACTTGTATTACTTGTGCTGACACTAAAGCTAGACAAAGCTAAGAACGAGGAAATTTACTCAATCTAAAAGAGATTATCCTCAAGACAATAATTCTTTGATAAAACAGTAGAGATAATACAGAGTTTCACTAGAGAAGATGGTAGGAGTTCACCATTGTAATTCCATTGCATATTGTTACCTTCAAATCAGTTGCTCAGACCACCAGACACAAGCATGAAAATCGATTAGAACATAAAAAATTGTAATCATTAACTGTTCATTTCAATGCACCATCAGACATAAGCAATAGTTATTGCAGCTATTCATATATATATATATATTTTGCCTTCCTTCTTTCTGTATCACTTTGAACGTTCTTGCTTTGATTTGTTTATGTTTGTGATACTGGTATGCTGCTACTGTTCTATTTCTCTGCTTATTTCTCACTTACTACTCTCTTTAAATTAAAAAAGTAAAACTATGATGCAAATGGATATTGATTAACCTAGAAATATGTTTATGATGTATTTCAAAGTTAAAAAGACTTGCTGCAAAATTATGTGTAGATTGTTAAATGTTGATTAAGAAGACAGTGTAGGAATACAGGAAATAAAGATATCTGCAGTTTAAAAAAATAATAAAAAATAAAAGAGATTAGCCATAAACACCCCTCAGCTAATATCACATTTAAGGAGAAAATGTTGAATAATTTGCCCATAAAATCCAAAACAAGATGAAGACATCTCATCATTTATATTCAATATTGTATTAGAGGTACTTAGAAAGTTGAAGTGTTAGTAACAATAATAAATGGAAGTCTTTCAAAAATAAACTAGAAAACCTGAGGAATTATTTAGAAACAAACAGAAACAAAACAGACTCATTAGAAAACTGGTGAGACTCCCACTTTGTCTGCCACTCTGTGTTTTTACAGAATCAGTTCACATGATCTCAGATGTCACCAGAAATTGAAAGGAGGAACTGTACTGTAAGGTGGCTGGGGTATTTCCACAGGACAGAGTCTCGCTTCGGTAAGGTTCCCCAGCACAGCCCTCTGCAGAGCAGAGCTTTAGGGAATCCTGGCACATCCACAAAAACACATACCAAAAGCAAATGCAGAGTCATCCTGGGCTTACTCTGTATTCAGCCCACAGAGAATTCACCTGTCATTGAGATTCTCCTCTCATCAAGGTTACCAGTCCAGTAGTCAATCACACTGAACCCTTTTATCAGCCCCACTTGGTAATTATAAAATATTTGCAATTATACAATATGCTAATTTTTGGACGTCTACAAACAGCTTAATCAATTGAGTGCATTTTATTATTTCTAGTCTAAACATTATGGCCTCACATGAAGTCTCTGAGATCAGTAAATTATTTTAGATTGTTAAACTGCTGCCAAACCAATCAGAAGTTTTATTTGAACTTATTAAGCTTGCTACATTATTTAGCCAGCAAGATTGAGAAAAACAACAGAAACAAAGGGGCAGGGGGGAGTCACTCTGTGAAGCTCGATCAGTTCTGGCGAATTACAAGGGAGCAAGCCATCTAAGTGCAGGAAGAACAGGATTCATGAAGTTCTCGATGTCTAGTTAAAATCAGTGATAAGCTAGATTCTTCAGACATCTATACTTCACATTATTTCCCCCCTGATAATGTGTTTGTGGTGTGTGTGTGCACGTGTGTGTGCACGTGAGCGAGTGGAAGCATGGGTGTGTGTGTTGGAGTTGATTGGATGTCTATTTTGTAAAGGTGTGTACATGCATATATGGTGCACCTGTATCCAGCTATGCTGCCCAGGAATAAATAAATAAATATATATTTTGTTTTCAGGCCCATCGGGACCTACCACACTTGAACATCCCAAAGCAGAGCAAGAGAAGAGTTGCCCTGTCAGCATTTACAATACATCTAAATACATTCAGTAGAAACCATATGTCCATGGTTTTATCAACCCTAAAACTTCTTTCCCTTGTTTTCATATTTTTATAAACTTTTATATCACTGAATATTCTTGGTGACTTTATCTTCTGAACAATTTGGATACTCCTTGGAGAAAACATGTTGCCTAAAAACTTCTTCAAATAACCCTAGTTTTGTATACTTATGGAGATCACCTGATTAAATAGATTTAAAACACTAAAAGGTAAATTTAATGCACATTTAGCCATTTTTGTGGGAAAAAACTCATTTGTAATACTAGATGTTGTTTTAATAAAACAATTAAATGCATCTCTAAAAGTATTATGCTAAGTGGTTACGCTGTGCATGAAAGTATTAATATAGCACCAATTTCTAATGTAATAAGGCTATTTGTTACCTGAGATAACATTTTCAATGTTGGAGTCATACTTAAGAGAATGCTGTATTTTAAAAATTCCACTTAGACGTTAAGAGGATGGGCACTGCAGCAATGCTTCTCAAACTTGACTGCCCATACTCATCCTCCAGGGATCTTGTTAAAAATAGAGAACCTGATCCAGGGTGTGGGATTTTTCATGGCTGAGCTGAACTGTTTCCATGGAAGGTGAAAGTGGAAAAGGGTGATGTATATCTACACATGGACCACATACACATAATCTAATGTGAGACTGTAAATATGTAAATGTGATTAACTAGATAAATTAACAAGACAACATTTAACTGTTCCAGCATATATATGGGTGTGTGTGTGTGTATATATATATATGTATGTATATGTATATATAAAGTAGTCTGAAAATATTTTTGTGTGGGATACAGGCAGACTGCTTTCAATTCATGGTCATATGTATGGCATTTCTCCTAAAAATTTCTTGCTCTGTTTAGCAGTCCTGAGAGACATAGCCAGATTAGAATTTTTTTGATGATCAGTTATTTGAACTGGAATAAGATGGCAATGCATACATTTCTTTTGGTCAATGATTAAATAGAATAGTATGCTAAATTGAATCAGCTCTGCCACATAACAAAAAAATGTAGAGTAATTTAAAAAGAAAACAAGATGCATGGAAATATGTGATAGATCAAATTTAAAACAATTATAGATAGAAGAGAAGAAAGCAATAACTCATGCTGCTAAGCTGCATAACCTTAGGACCAGTACCCAAGTAGGAGGTCAGCATGTGTTTCAGAAGGGAAGATTATAATAACAAAGGTGTTTCATAAGGAAGACAAATAAAGATGAAAACAACAGGTCAGTTGAAGATAAAAAATGAGGTTTTTCAGTTAAATATAAAAATTTTAGAAAAAAGACCCATCTGTACTTGTAAAAATATAGACACAAAATTAGGATGTCTTCAAAAATTTCTTTCCCATGGAGTCTCTATTTTGTTGGAGGAAGATGTTTCCAGAGAAAATTCTTGCTATATTTTCTAAAAATTTTCAGGTAGATTATAATGTGCTGCTGCTACAACAGCTATTCTAGAACTCAACTCTTCACTTACATACTAAAAACAAGGAAGATGTGCTAGTACAATTAAAATTATAACCACATAAGTTTTACTTTGTAGTTTTAACTCTCAAAAATTATTTCTATAAAAAATGTAAGTGTCTAGCATGCTGAAATGAGAATAGCAGCGAAGAGCTGCCTGCATATGAACGTTGCTATACTATGCGAAAAAGGAGGAATGGCAATAAACTGATTTAGTGGGGTTGAGTGGGGGGTCCTTCAACTGTTGTTGAGAATAATGTTAGTTTATATTTTATGACATTCTTAGTTATAAACATTCTATTATCATCCTTAAAATGATTCCCCAAAGGGTTTTAATTCCGCATATGGAACCAACTGACCTTAACTAATAGTGTGAATGGGGCTCACAAATGAGCTTACAATGGTCAAACCACAGAACACTGGGTAACATTGCTAAGATTTTTATTTTTATTTTACAGAGACAACAAAAGATTTTGACCTCCTTTCTTTTCCAGTAGATTTAGTGTTTCTGTTTTAGTATTTAAATCTTTGATCCAATTTAACTTTAGTTTAGTGCATGGTGATAGAAATGGGTCTAGTTTTAATCTTTGGCATGTAGAGAGCCAACTTTTCCAGCACCATTTATTAAAAAGGCTATCTTTCTTGCAGTGAACACATTCACCTCTTTTGTCAAAGATAAGGTGGCTGAGTGTGTGTTTGTAGTTGTGGCTGCATCTTCTAAGTTGTTCCACTTGTCCTCAGGTCTATTTTTTTTTTTTTTTTTTTGGCCAGTACCATGCTGATTTTATCACAGGAGCTTTGTAGTATAATTTCAAGTCAGGGATTGTGAAGCCTCCTGACTTTTCTTTTTTCCTCATGATTGCCTTTGCTATTCTGGGTCTCTTCTTGTTCCAGATGAATTTTAGGAGTGTTTTTTCTAGTTCAGTGAGGTGTGATAATGGCATTTTGATTGGGATTGCATTAAATTTGCATAACAATTTTGGAAGTATGGCCATTTTCACTATGTTGGTTCTTCCTACCCGTGAGCAAGGGATATCTTTCCATTTTCTAATATCCTCTTCAATCTCCTTTGTCACAGAAATGTAATTTTCAATCTTTTACTTTTTAAAAGATTCCAAAAAGGATTTTAAAAATGAAAATAGAAATATCTAGCTCTCATCCTGAACTATAGAATGAAGACAACATCATTAAATGTGATTCTACAAATAACTAATCACACATAAGAAAGCATGGCAGAACCCAAGTTAAATTCTCAATGTGTGCACCCATGTTTATAGGAGCACAAATTGTTATAGCTAAGTCTTACTTTCTTTGTTAGGTTGATTCCTAAGTATTTTATTTTCTTGGATGTGATTGTGAATGGTATGGTTTCCCTATTTTCTCTCTCAGTGTGTTTGTTGTTTGTGTACAAGAATGCTATTGACTTTTGAGTGTGACTTTCTGCCATGCTACTGAATTTGGTTATTAAATCTACAAGTCTTTTGGTGAAGTTTTTGAGGTTTTCTATGTGGAGTATCATGTCTTCAGGGAACAATGATAAATTCCCTTCTTCTTTCCTATCCTTTTTCTTTTTATTTCTCTCTCTAGTTTAATTGCTCTGGCTAATGTTTCCAGAACTATATTGAAAAGGAGTGATGATAGTGGACATCCTTGTCTTTTTCCTGATTTTAGAGTTAAAGCTTTCAGTTTTTGTCCATTTTGTATGATGTTGGCTGTTGGTTTGTCATATATGGCTTTTACCAGATGAAGGTAAAGACCATCTATCCCAATTTTCTTAGGGTTTTTAATCATGAATGTCTGCTGGCATTTATCAAAATATTTTTCCACATCTATTGAGATGATCATGTGATTTTTGTCTCTGGCTGTGTTGATATGGTGTATTACATTTACTGATTTGCGTATGTTGAACCATCCTTGTCAAAATCTTAAAAACATAGGGGTCTGAACAGCCTTCATGAACAAAACCCAAACTGCACAGGAAAAATTTCAAAGAATCAATAACTGGGATCTCATCCTATTAAAAACATTTTGTACTTCAAAAGAAATCACCAATAGAGTAAAAAGACAACCCACTGAATGGGAAAATACTTTAGCTAACTGTCTCTCAGACAAAGGATTTACATCTAGAACATATGACAAATTGAAAAAACTCAAATCCCCCAAATTCAAAGACCCAATTCAAAAATGGGCACCTGAGATGAACACACACTTCTCAGATGAAGAAATACAAATGGTAAATAGATATATAAAAACAATGTTCAACATCATTGGTCATTCAATAGATGCAAATTAACAACACTGAGATTTCATTTCACCCCAGTAAGAATGGCTACCATCAAAAAATCAACCAAAAACAAATTCTGGAGGGGCTGTAAGGGAAAAGGAACCCTTGTACACTGTTGGTGGCAGTGTAGAGGTGTGTCACCACTTTGGATATCAGTCTGGCAATTCCTCAAACAATTAGGATTAGAGGTTCAATTTGACCGGCTATTTCCCTTCTGGGTATTTTTCCAGCAGAATTGAAAACATCATACTACAGTGATATATGTGCACGCATGTTTATAGCAACACAATTTGTTATAGCAAAATCTTGGAAACAACCAAAATGCCCAGCAACTGAGGAGTGGATAAAAAGGATGTGGTATTTCTATACAATGGAGCATTAATTAGCTATAAAAATGATAAACTCGGGGTTTTTATAGGTAAATGGATGGAACTAGAGACCGTACTCACCAGTGAAAAAAATCAGAATCATAAGTGTAAACACTGTATTTTCTCCCTAGTGTAAGAATATGAAAGAGTAAATAAAACTGAAAGGTACAATAGATATTGTGAAAGGGAAAGAAATTGCTCAATAGGAAAGAACAACTGGAATGAGGGAAAGGAAAGAAAGAAAGAAAGAAAAGAATAAAAGGAAAAAGAAAGAAAGAAATATGTATATATATACAAGATAGTTAAGACAATTTTAATACTAGTTTTTATTGGTTTATTGAAAGGAACAATTAATATTTAATTGTTTGATCAATCTTGCATACTTATATCTGGCAATCTGAACGACTATTTTAATACTAATAAGTAATACAACAACCAGTGTTGATTTCCAATCATCTTGTTTTGAAATTCTGTATTGTTTTTATAGTTTTTGTGTTCTTTTGTTTTTGTTCTTTTCTCATAAGAATGATACAGACAAGAGAGAGAAATAAAGGAAATAAGGATTGAAAAGGAAGATGTGAAATTATCATTCACAGAAGACATGATACTTTACACAGAAGACCCCAAATACTTCACCAAAAGATTTGTGGATTTAATAACGAAATTCAGTGGCATAGCTAAATACAAAGTCAGCACTCAAAAATCAATAGCATTCCTGTACACAAACAACAAACATATTGAGAGAGAAATTAGGGAAACCACAACTTTCACAATAGCATACAAAACAATACAGAATTTAAAAACAGGATGATAATAAATTAACAATTTT